AAGTGCCAAGTATTGTGTATTAATCATATCCCTTGTTCTGTTTGCTATGTACATTCATACTGATACAGACTGCAGTTTGTTTTCCTGCTGCAAGTGTGGGCTGCTTGTTTATGCTCAACTTGCTGTCCTATTGGATCCATAACTTCTTTTAAGCCAAGATACACTCCTGATCATCCTTTCCCAGCCAGTATGGATGTTTGGGATTACTTTCCCCCTGGACAGACTTTGCATTTATCTTTGTTAAACCTTATGCAATTACTGTTATTGTAATTTTACAGCCTCTTTCTGCATGGTAGCTCTTTCTTCCAATATATCTACCTCTCCTCCCTGTTTAGTGTCTTCCACAGACTTGGTAAGGGTGCCTTCAATACCATTTTCCAAACAGTTTAAAAATATTTTGAAGGTCAAGGACTGACCCCTGAGCCGTTCCACTCATGACAAGATGTCAGCCTGACCTTGAGCTATTAACTACCACCTTTAAAATTTAACATCTCAGCCGTTTCTCCACTTGTAAGTGCTCCATTTTTGCAGTCCATATCCTACCATCTTGTCATCAAGGATGTTGGGAACCTTGTCAAGGCTAATATAGATGGGCCTTTATGAATGCATTTTTCATATGTCATTATTTTTGTCTGTTCAAACACATAAGTGATGAACTTGGTGAAGCAATTCCAAAATGACATTTCATGGTCTATGTATTGCAGAAGGTCAGAATAAATATACATAATTATTCCTCTGGCCTTAGAAGAATCCACAAATCTAGCAACTTCAAGAAAAGTGGCTTTTGTCCACTAAGAATGCATTGCTCAAGACAACAGAAGCCACATATCTGTTGTAGGGAGTGTCATAAATGGAAAATAATGAAATCACATTGGGAGTCTTGACTCTGGAAGGGGATGTAACATAGCGATTGTCATTGTTTAATTCCTGTGTGGTGAAGAATGCTTTCATAGAATATATAACAACTGGGCTTCTGATTTTTCTTTTTGTTTTACTTGTTTGTTTTTTTTTTCCCGAATTTAATCAATTACCTTAAATTACCTTTGTCACTACACCCTCATGTGAGTTTAACTGTTGTATGAGTGAAAGCAAAGCTGGGCCGTGACACTCAAGTGCTTTTATAAGCCAGGAAAGAATTTGAATGCTATCACTGCAATAAAAATCTCCATTGATGGATGTGTGTTTTTTCTTTGTAGAAAAATGCCAAGAATTTGTCTGGCACATTTTTACTGCGCATTTATCCACTCTTGTCTCGTATCATGAGATCTGCTTCCCTGTCCGTTGATCCTTGTTTATTCTGGCATTCATTCAACATGCTGATGTTTTTCTAACCTTATGGTCCAGGGCCGTGCTACCCAGATATTTGTTTTTGCTAGCCAGTTCTTTGCAACAGAGTTGCAACACACTGCTAACAACAATTCTTTCAGTTTCCAGTCTCAGATTTAGTCATATCATTATACTAATTTAGAGCCTTTGCAATGCTTCCTTTTGTGATCGCTGACATGCACAGTTATTTTCCAATGATATTTAATTTATGAATGCTGAGTATGTCACTGACAGTATCCTCTGCATGTCATTGTGAGAGCTTCTGTTTTGTGCACCACATAGGGAAGTTTCTTCATTTCTTTAGCCTTTTCATTTCTTTTCCCTTTTAGTTTTTTTGTGTTCTTTGTGGGTTGGTTGTTTGTTTTTTTTTTTGTTTGTATTTTTGGTTTTTTTTGTTGTTGTTGTTTGTTTGTTTTTTTAATTCCAGTCAAATTTAAATGTGGAAAAGCATAGGAAGTTTTCTTACTTCTTTGCACTGTCTTCTGCATTACTGCGGGAACACAAACATGATAAATCATGTCACCACAAGTTAATCTTATACAGATGTAATTTCTGGTAAATTTCAATTTAGGCTGGATTTGCAGACTGATTACCAGTTAAATAAAACAACATGGTAAAATAACACAGATAAAATAATACACTTAATTGATGGGCTATATAAGTTGATTAACCAGACTGATTTGCACACAGTGAAAGAAGATGAAAACATAATGTAAATTGCAGCATCTGCTTCTATCTGTATGAATGACATAATCCTGGCCAAAAGAAAAAAAATATGTACATATTGAAGTGTCAGACTCTTTAGTTCAATGTCAAATGGGCTTCTGATGCTTTGATTGTTCTGGCTTCTTGATTTTAGTCACGTTTCTCTGCTGAATAGCTTGCCAAACACAGAGGAAAACCACTTGTGGTTCTATTTTCCTGAATCAAATGATCAAATGCTGGTTTTTTGTTTTTTTGTTTTCTTTTTTGATAAAAAATCCTCTGTTGTATGTAAAATAAATCCCAGAACATGTACTATACACTTTTTTTTTAGTAAGAATTCCTAAATGGTAGAATACAAGGTTCACAAGTAGATGGGCTGTTTTCCTTCACCTCATTTTAGTTCTGACTTGTAAGTTTTAATGGAAGAAAGCACTGCAAAGATATTGTATCATTCTGCCCGTATGAGGAAAGACATCACTATGCACTTGTTAGCTTCACAGGTGTGAGCCATGTACACTGATGTTTGAGTTTCTGTGTTGTCTTCTACAGTCTTACTAATCATATGTAGACTTTTTTACTTTTTTGTTGTTTTAGTAATTCCAGTAAGCAAGATATCCTGTGAAGGTTCTTTCTCTGATTTTGATGTTGACCGTTTTTCCCTCCTTTTCAGCAGTAGCTGTGGCTTCATACTGGCTAATTCAGCCATTGTAATATGAGCACTCTGTCCTTTTGAGGATATAGTATATTTTTGCATGCCCTAATGCTTCAGTAGAGAGCAAGCATTCCCCTTGCTAACGTGTTTTCAACCTGGAATTTATTTTCTTTTTCAACAGAAATATAGAAATGCAGTTTCTGGTTTTGAATGTAATCTGAACTATATTGTAGTTCATTCTTTATTTTATATTATAGTTCGTTTGGCTTTTTCTTTTTTTTTTTTCTTTCCTCAACATCTATCAGCAATGTGTATCTAACATAGAATCACAGAATAATAGAATCATGGAATCATAGAATGGTTAGGGTTGGAAAGCACCTTAAGATCATCCAGTTCCACCCTTCCCACCCCCTGCCGTGGGCAGGGATGCCTCACACTAGACCATGTCACCCAAGACTCTCTCCAGCCTGGCCTTGAACACTGCCAGGGATGGAGCATTTAGCACGTCTTTGGGCAACCTGTCCCAGTGCCTCACCACCCTCACAGTAAAGAACTTCTTCCTTGTATCCAACCTGAATTTCCCATATCTAACAATTTCCTAAAATTGTTTTCTCTGCCAATTTTTTCATATTGCTCATTATTTATAATGGCTAAAATGTTTTCTTTTTTATTGGGTTGTAGATTATGTGTCAAAAGAATTAATGTATGTTATTGGTAAAATTTTTCAAATATTGAAAACCATTAATTTTTCACCCTTTCTGTATTGCACAGCAGTGTAGATTTCTACAGAGCTGATGTCCATTGCTTAAAATCTCTTATGCTACAGTGCAGTATTAAATGTTAGCAGGAATTACATGATTTACAAAACAAATCCTGTGCGGAGAAAGCATATCTGTTTGGTCTTCTCTATTCTATGCATTCACACTATATGCTGAAGAAGAATGATTTCCCCTTTCATTGTTACTAAAATCTTGTTTCATCAGCCGCAGACTATATTCAGTACAGTAACAATGTGTTCATGTGGAGTCCTAAAGGTCTTCAATTCTGTTAGCATTGACCCTAGTTAGTTCAAATGCTTGATTTGCTAACTTCCCAGAGAGAGTGAAATAACTTAGATTGTATCACAATGGGGGGACAAAGTCATCTTTTTTTCTAAAAAAAATGTTCATTTTATTCCACATACACTGCTAATTTTCCTCTGCGCAGAATTTATGGCTGCCAATCAGCTGAACTTCAGAAAGATTTGTAGTGTCAATCTGAAGTTTAGCATCTCCACCAGAGCTGATGGCAGAGTTATGTTTAAGGCTGGCATTAAAAAATTAAAGACTCCTTAAAAAGTTAGATTACACTAGTTCTTATGCTTTATTTCTACATTTCATTTACTAGGCATGATTTAACATCACCAAACATTTTCTGATATATCTTGAGTTTGAATCATTATGAAACAAAGGGGCAAATGTAATATAGAATGTTTAGGACTTCTAATACTTTCAGTTTATCCAGTGGTTATGATCTCTTAAGCACTGTGTTTTGGAAAGATGAGGGAAGGTAATATCTTTTTTTAAAGAAGCTGAGGTGCTGAGGTGAAAAAATGAAGCGACTCCTTTGCAGATGCTCAGAATGACTTTGTGCTTAACTGTTGTCTTTTTTGTCCCAAACCACTGCCTCTCTCTTCCTATCAGAACAGTTCTTTGCATTCTGGGAATATTAAAGCACAAAACACACGTTTATTTTTAGGACTTTTAGTAGCCGGTTTCTGAATGGCAAGCTAGAATTAGTGTGACCAGACTGTGATACTCTCTCTGCTGCCCTCTCCCTCACAGCAGTTTTCTTCATAAACTGCCATCTGTAAATGCTTTAATTACTTCAGGTTGCCACAGTGTGTAGGTTTTCAGAATTGCTCAGGAGTACCTGAGTGATTGAAGTAAGAGTGAAGATTTCAAATGTGCCAGAATCCACAGAGTCTCCTATAACACTTACCAACATTGTTGATGGCTACAATTAAATACTTAACAGTTTTATACTGACTTCAAATAATCGTAGGTCTTCATCCTACATAAAATCCTATCAACAGTAAAAAAGAGATAAACAGCAGATATTGCACATTTTCTTGACCATCTCTCCAGATGCTTTGATTTACACAAACAAAATGAGAGATACAGATTATATTAAATGCACAAGTACTCTTAAAAGAAAACCTTAGTGAAATCTGACGTAGTAAAATACAATAAGAGAGCAATGACCAAACTGAGTATTTGCTTTCACTCTTATAAGCATATTATTCTTACTCATGTTGCATCTAATATTTGTCTTTCAGAAATCCAAAATCTCCACTTATGACAAGATGTGGGCCTTCATGAGTAGCAGGAGGCAGTCAGTACTTGTCAAAAGTAATGAAGAAGGCATCCAGCGTGTGCTTACCTCTGATTATGCATTCTTAATGGAGTCGACAACAATTGAGTTTGTCACACAGCGGAACTGTAACCTAACACAGATTGGAGGCCTGATAGACTCAAAAGGTTATGGCGTTGGAACTCCCATGGGTAGGTGATATGCCAACCGTCTGTGCTCTGTTCATTAATCTTAGTTGCTGCAGTAGCCTTGAAAGCTTCAACACATTGTTGCTTTCTCTACATTGCTAACGTTTTTTTCTTGTCCTCTTTTTCACACCTGGGGAAAGTATTATGTATCTTATCAATATTTATGGTTCTTATAAAAATAATTACTTTATAAAAATTGGCATTTTCGTAACTGTTTCTCTTGAGTGGTGTCTTCCATATGTTCAACAACAGCACAAAGTACTTTTCACCGTATTTTATTAAAAAGTTTTTAAAATGTAGCTCTCCCTCTTTAGAGTATGAGGTGCTAGTAGTACAATTCCTGTAAATGGGGATAATATTTCTCTAGTGAGAGGGATGATCACTGAGATTCTTAACAGAGAAGGAAAGATTCCATTATATATCATGTACAAATCCACAGAAATATTGAATTAACCTTGTGGAATATAGTTTTGCAGAGCAATTCCAATCCTGTAAATATTTTCCAGGTCAGGTGTTGTACAAAACTTTAATTGAAAGATGAGAAGCCAACTACAGACATTAGTTTGGCTGGTAGAATCCACAAGATGGAACTCAGCAAGCACTGAGGTGCTGAGTTCCCATTGACTACAGTGATTATTTTTTTTTAAGGACATGAGCTAAGAATCTGGCTTTAAATTTCAGAGTAGATGGGAATAGAAAATGGTGTGACACAAACACTCTGTCAGTAATGCACAATGATCTTACTTAATATTGCAAGACCATTCTGCTGAATTCTTTGCAAGACAAATATTTATTTTAACACTATTTTTAAGAAGAATTTATCATTTTGTGATTGATGTGAATATATTTTATGTTATTCGCAAATTGGTCTTACATTTGGTACTGATTTTGTCTGTTTTAATAATCGACACTAAATCATTGTATGGGGAAATTGTGTCCAGTACTTTAAATCAAACACATGGTATGGAAGATTAAGAAATCAACTTTGATAGAATGTCTTGGATAAAGAGGTATCTAGTATTATCAAATATAGCTTTCCCTGTATGTTGTAAATATTTACTGCAACTTTACCAACATCTGTATAATTTTCATTTTTTCAGTAATTCTCCATGAAATAGACATCTGAAAAATTCATTCTGTCTTTCAACACTTAGTTGTTAGGAATCTAATTTCAATCTGTATATGAATATTTCTATCCTGTTCTATTGTGGCTTCTTATATTGCTGAACATGTTCTATAGGCATATAAGTGCTAGAAAGGACTGGACTTCAATCCTCCTGCTCCTTTTGTCATCTCTTATTTTCTGACATATAAAGCTTTTGTTATTTTGAGGATGAAACCCACCTTCTGTTTAGGTTTATTATGGGGGAAATTAAATAGAAGTGGCAGTGTAAAATCCTTGAATAAGTTGCATGCAAAATTCTGAAAGATCTGAAGCATGTCCTGGAAATCTAAGAGACAAAGTGATAGGAATCAGAGAGACCAGGCTATTTTACAAATTATTTTGGTATTCTGTGAATCAGAGAAGCATCATAAATACCAGAGAAAACAAATATAAAACAATGATAAAGCCAGAAAAAGACTTCAAAGACAGAAGTATTGGTTGTAAAGTGGCAAGGAAACAAGTATGTAAACTATCTTTTGGTCTTTGTCCCCTACCTTATTTAGTTAGAACAGGCATTACACATGCACTATTTCTTCATTAACTTATAATATTTTCAGAGTTATAATTCAGCTTTTATTAATCTGAAAGTTTTCAAGTCATGAAAAATTTCTGAGTCAAGAGGAATAATAATGTACACGGGGATCTGTGAGCTGACAATTGTCTTGAACCAAGGTGAAACAAATAAATAGAAGACATACCTGCAGGAATCAGAGATCACAAAAGGAGGTAAAACATGAGTTGAAACAGTGTTAAACTTAGCAAGAGAAGTTGAAATAAGATCTGAAAAAAAGATGAACGCTTTGTAAAAGAAAATGTAAGAGAACCTAAAGTAAGGTGTAATGTAAGGTTTTCACAGAAGAAATGAAGGTATAATAAAACAGCATCAGGAGCTTTCCCAGAACAGCTAAGAATAAGAGATTAATCCTGGCTTTGATCAGTATCTATAAAATGCTATCCAGAGAAATAACATCTATAAAAGTTTTGCATCCTATTAACTGCACAGTCTTAGAGGAAAGAGAGGGGTAGCCTCCACTAAAATAATGCATAGTTCAGACATGCACTGGAAAGAAAACCTTGTGAAGAAGCATAGTGCCTGTCAGAATAGTTTCTGTTAAATATATTGCTTTATTGAAGCTAAAAAAATCTTACAGAGAAGTGGATAATAGAAAATAAACTCATGCATTATCGCTAATCTTATTTCTGCAAGAAAAAATAATTTTGGAATCTTTAAAAGAATTTATGACACAATTAAAACAACAGAAGTAGATTTCATCATTATTTAATGATTATGGGAGAATTCTTTAGACAAGCAATTGAGTAATACTTCTTTAGAGCTAATAATCCTTAGAGTAACTTGTCAAGTGCTTGGAAATGTAATGGTTTCACAGACAAAGCACATGTTACTGCTTGTGCCTATTTGGGAAGCAGCACATCTCTCTGAAGAGCAGTACAGAACTATTTGTATTGAAGGCACAGTATCTGAAAGATATAGATGTCATCTCCCCAAATTTACCGAAATATCCAATTTGTCTCCTGGAATAGTGGCTTAAAGTTTCAGAAATATTTGCACGTAAAATTAAATTTATAGAATACAGTTGTTATAGGCATTATGTTCAATACAGTAGGATGGATACGGTTACATTTGGAGAATAGCAGCAAAGGAATTAGGTGCAGTGTATTTTGTTCCTTTTGAAGGCTAATAGAATAATGGTTAGTTAGAACATAATTTGAGTCTAAGTAGCTGCAAGCAGAAGATCTAAAATATTTCCTAACAGAAAAACATGCTATCAGAGTAGGTTATGATAGGATAATCACTTAGAAAATGCAACCACCCAAATATAGCACCAGCTTAGAGTACTGCAGTAAAAGCTCTTTGTTCACAATGTGAAAGCTTTCTATATTAAGAGACAGATGCACAAGATGAGAAGAAAGAAACAGCAGGTCAGGCAGTGTATAGGTATCAACTTGTTCCAAACACACTGAAGAAACAAAATCTGTTTATATGATTACTTTAATCCTACTAAAATCATTAATTACTTAAACAAACTTTAGATTGCTAAAATGTAGACTAGAGTAAGGAAATTGGAAACATACTTTTTGGCATGAAGTAGTATCAGGGTTTAAAATAACAAAATAACCTTTAAAATAACAAAATACACTGATGTATTTTGTAATACCTAGTTGGAATAGGTGCAAGGCAGCATTCTGTGTGATATCTTTGCTGTTAAATTTATTTAATGTGCCACAGATAACATCCACAGAACTGAAAAGTGTGCTAGAGATGGTGAATTTGAAGTGGAGGAGAGAGAACAAACTCTGGGGTTTTAAGGATAGATACTCTAGAGTGTTACTTATCACCTCCAGTAGTTTTAAATGCCCCATTTCTTCATTATGCATGATAAAAATGTTTAAAATTGAGTTTGTTCTTGAATAAATCCCAGTTGGGTTAAATTTACCATTGCAAGGACTTCCTAAATGTTTATTCCACAGGTTTATGGTCTTATCAAACATAAATTGTAATGTTTTTTCCCACGAAAACCTGGTCTATCCAGCAATGTACATTTTATGCCCTAAAGAAACCCAGTATTAATTTCCTATGGTCAATATACTGTAAAACACAGTAATATTATGTGACAAATGCTATTTTCCAGAATGAGTATTTATTAACATCCTTGTTAAAGTGAAGTGACCCACACGAAAGGTTAGAAGTTTAGCTTCTACACACTCTATATTAAGGTCTGAATCGTTTGCAAAGCTACTTTTTACTCTCCAATTAGAAGAAACATTCTAAATCATCTCTTGGAAAAAAAGCAAATCTTCATCTCTCTGGGGTGTCTTCAGGTTCTTATTTCTTTTCCATATTCCTGTTTTCTCCTCAGCATGTTAAGACATCTGGCTCCTTTCCTTCTGGCTGGGCAGATTTTCTGTTGGATTTTGCCAATTGGTTCTATGTTGAACCTGGAGGCATAAATGGCTGACAAGTGTGTATGTCAAACCCATTCCATATGAGCAGATCTACTGAACATGCACCTTTCAGGTGGTCTATACTTACGTGGCAACTCAGGACTATCCTGTGTATGCCAAACTAACTCTGCATGTGTGGAGATTCATGCAAAGTAATGCCTCTGACATTTTGAGAATGAAAAATGATAGGTGTAAGTAAACCTAAAAATTTGCATATGTTTCTTCTAACTCTTAAGAAATACAAAATAGAAAGTGGTGTTTGAGAAATTTGGTGCATATACGAAATTAGAGATAACCATTTCCCTGCTGTTTCTCTGTGATTGTTGAGCTATGGAAAGTTACAGAATTAGATTACAAGGAGGTTTAACTGTATAGCACTGATGTTCCTGATAATATCTAATAATGGTGAGGTAAAAATCAGCATGAAAAAAGGTGAAAGACATATTTTTTTTTATCCTTTCTTCCTGTGCAGTTACTAAAGAAAAGGGCTATTAATATTAATGATAACTGAGTTGCAGAACATAGGGAGATGAATATTACATGAGTCTCTTCATTTTTAGTAATTTATTGAATTTTCTCTAGCTGTGACCAAACTATGACTTTTCATACTAGAGCATCTCACTGTATCCCTGATCTTTCCATACTGATGGACTATCAAGATGCCCTGACAAATGCTGAAAAAAGTTTGAGGTTCACATTTTTATTAGTTAACTGTTAACTTAAAAACTGCTAAAAAAAAGAGAAGTGCACTCCCCCAACTACATAGAGACTCTTCAGTGCACATAGGGATAAAATACAGCTCTCAGAATATGAATGAAATTAAACAGTGTATTTTGGGGTCAGCATATCAAGCTGATAAAGCTACCAACATTTC